ATTAAGACCATCCCGGCCAACACGGTGAAACCCTGTCTCTAGTAAAAATACAAAAGATTAGCTGGCTGTGGTGGTACATGCCTATAATCCCAGGTACTCGGGAGGCTGAGGCAAAAGAATTGCTTGAATACGGGAAGTGGAGATTGCAGTGAGCTGAGACTGCGCCACTGCACTTCAGCCCGGTGACAGATTGAGACTCTGTCTTAAAAAAAAAAAAAAAAGCAATAGAAATTCCATTTGACCCAGCAATCCCATTACTGGGTATATACTCAAAGGATTATAAATTGTTCTACCATAAAGACAAATGCACACATATGTTCATAGTGGCACTGTTTACAATAGCAAAGACCTGGAACCAACCCAAATACCCATTGAAGATAGATTGGATAAGGAAAATGTGGCACATATACACCACGGAATACTATGCAGCCATAAAAAATGATGAGTTTGTTTCCTTTGTAGGGACATGGATGAATCTGGAAACCATCATTCTCAGCAAACTAACACAAGAACAGAAAATCAAATACCGCATGTTCTCACTCACAGGCAGGTGTTGAACAATGAGAACACAGGGACACAGGGAGGGGAGCATCACACATTGGGGTCTGTTTGTGGGGGGGCCAAGGGAGGGAGAGTGGGGGCGGTGGGGAGGTTGAGGAGGGATAACATGGGGAGAAATGCCAGACGTAGGTGATGGGGGTATGGAGGCAGCAAACCACATTGCCATGTGTGTAGCTATGCAACAATTCTGCATGATCTGTACATGCAGCACCTAAAGTACAATTAAAAAAAAAAGTTGGTTCAGCTTTCAAGTCAAACAATGATACAAGTACTTAAATATCTTATCTCAGCTATGCATCAGGATTTATGGGTTTATACTTTATGAAGTTGTACTTTATGAGTACTTCCCATTTTGTCACAAAAATTTTTTTAAAAAGTGCCCTCAAGGACTGAGATTTAATAAAATTAAGAATCCTTACTGCTTCATTAAGGATATTCTTTTTTATTTTTATTTTTAGTTTTTTATTTTTGTTTTTTAACTTTTTTCATTTTCATGATAACTTCATTGCTACATAAAGGATATTAAGTGAAACTGGCTTTAAAAAAAAAAATGTCAGTATATTGTTCCAGGATAAACTATGAGTTTTAAAGAAGTGGTTCAATACACTATTTCAGGCCGGGTGCGGTGGCTCAAGCCTGTAATCCCAGCAATTTGGGAGGCCAAGGCGGGTGGATCACGAGGTCAAGAGATCAAGACCATCCTGGTCAACACGGTGAAACCCTGTCTCTACTAAAAATACAAAAAATTAGCTGGGCATGGTGGCGCATGCCTATAATCCCAGCTACTCAGGAGGCTGAGGCAGGAGAATTGCCTGAACCCAGGAGGCAGAGGTTGCGGTGAGCCGAGATCACGCCATTGCACTCCAGCCTGGGTAACAAGAGTGAAACTCTGTCTCAAAAAAAAAAAAAAAAAAACAACATTATTTCAGCACCACTTATGTTTCTTGTCAAGATTTATGTAAAAGAAGATCTTCAAGAATTAGTTGGTTCTTACACTGAATGGATATAAGCAAAGCAGCAAGTCCAGCTACATGTATAATTATGTCCATTTTAAAGGAATTATAACTCTGAAGAAGAGACATTAGTCTTTATGTTTGCAACTAAACTGCTTTTGTTTCTTTTTTTTGAGACAGAGTTTTACTCTGTTGTCCAAGTTGGAGTGCTATGGCACCATCTCAACTCATTGTAACTTCTGCCTCTCAGGTACAAGTGATTCTCCAGCCTCCGCCTCCCAAATAGCTGGGATTACAGGAATGCACCATCACACCTAGCTAATTTTTTTTTTTTTTGTATTTTTAGTAGAGACAGGGTTTCACCAGTTGGCCAGGTTAGTCTCAAGCTCCTGATCTCTAGTGATCTGCCTTGGCCTCCCAAAACACTGGGATTACAGGCGTGAGCCACCATGCCTGGTCTCCAACTAAATTTCTAATTTAGTGAGAGTTACTGCATCTTTGGAAAGTAGCATTCCCACGATCTCTGTTACTGATTGTCATCTAGCAGGCATTTTGGTAAGTGAACAAGGCCTTATTAGTCTTTTAGCTATTGCATGCCCTTCTCCAAAGAATGCTATATAATAATTTCACATATAAAAATCTACTGAAGTAAGATGCTTCATTCCTACGTTGAAGACGGTAATACAAAAGCTCTGGCTTTTATAAAGCATGTCACATCTATGTTGAAAATATTCAGTTCCCTTTCTTTCAAATTGTGACTGGTCTGAAAACACTGCCTCAACTTGACTGGAACCATAATAGTATTTGAAAATGTTCTGTTGAATGAGATAAAATAAGGCAAGTGATTTACATCTCTAATGCCAAGGAAAAGAAAAGTGCTTTTGTCGGACTTTCCTTTGTTATTTATAGTTTCAACCAGATTTCTCCCTTTCCCTGAGTCAGCGAATTCTGATACTAATGTCAGCATCATATTTTTCAGCATCTTTACATGTGGGAAGGTTAGAAAGCGAATCTTCTAGTCTCCTCCCCCTTTTAAAAATTATTTTATTATTAAAAAATAAATTATTTTATATTTTTCTTTTTTCCTACATTCAGTACCTCTAGTCTCTCCTTTTTACGCCTAAAAATTAAAAACTATATATAAAACAAAATTTAAAGATATAGTACTAAATTCCTGGTTTTTTTTTTTTTTAGGGCGGGGAGATAGAGTCTTGCTCTGTCACCCAGGCTGGAGTGCAGTGGCCGATCTCGGCTCACTGCAACCTCTGCCTCTTAGGTTCAAGCAATTCCCCCGCCTCAGCCTCTGGAGTAGCTGTGACTACAGGTGCCCGCCACCATGCTTGGCTAATTTTTTGTATTTCACCATGTTGGTCAGGTTAGTCTGAAACTCAGATTGATCAGGCAGTCTGCCTGCCTCGGCCTTCCAAAGTGCTAGAATTACAGGCATAAACCACCACACCTGGCTGATAAAATATTAAGTTACAAAGAGTATCCCTTTCTCGCTGGGGAGAGGGGCTAACGGTTGTAATCCCAGCACTTTGGGAGGCTGAGGTGGGCAGATCATCTGAGGTGAGGAGTTCGAGACCAGCCTGGCCAAAAGAGTGAAACCCCTTTTCTACTAAAAATATATAAATTAGCTGGGCGTGGTGGTGCACACCTGCAGTTCCAGCTACTCAGGAGGCTGAGGCACAGGAACTGCTGGAACCGGGGAGGAGGAGGCTGCAGTGAGCAGAGATCTCGCCAACTGCACTCCAGCCTGGGTGACCGAGGGAGACTCTGTCTCAAATATATAAATAAATAAATAAACTATCCCTTTTGGATAACTTTAAATATTTTAAAATGTTCTCAATAAATTAAAAAATATTCTTGCAAGACAAGCCAAGAAACTTTTTTCTTATGTTCCCATATAGGTATTCAAACAACTTCAGGATTTCAAAAAAACTCATTTATTAGGTGACAAGGAGGTTACAGCGATTTTAAGTGTAGGTGGTAGGCTCGTTCAGGTCTGGACTTCGTGGGGCAAAATAATTTGAGAGCGAGTCCAAAGAAAAAGCAAGCAAAAGAGTTTACTGCAAAGCTACAGTACACCTTGACGGCGGATCAGAACAGGCTGCTGAAAGGTGAGACAGCATGCACTGACACTGGGGAAACTCCCTTTATAGGAGTCTCATATGATCATTCATTAAGTGGGGAGACGGGGTGTTGCTATTAAATATGTTCTTGGTGGTTTTCTGGCGCCATGTGTGCTGTGGTTTTACATGCTAGTATAGACACTGCGTGTCTTACTGATATCTTAAATCTTCACCCAGGGGTGTATTTTTTACTATTATAATGAGGATAATTCAGCCGAGGGACGATCATGGGTTTCTCGCTTGAGAAAATCTGGGGATTTTCGTTTCTGCTCTTCTACTCCTTTGCTGCAAGGTTTTCTACCCAGGAGCCTGGGAAATGGTCTATGCACTATGTGCTGGTTTGTTCTATTTATCAAATTTGTTCCCCTTGAAGGGAGGCTATGACCACCTATCTAACCTACGTCCTAAGAACACACTAGGAGTACTGAGGTCAAACTGCACGTTTATGTCCTAAACCTACTACCTTAGAAAATTCTGGAAAACACAAGAATAGTCCAGCATACATTTCACCAGCTGGTCAACTGCCATCTAACCTCTTGAAAACTGTACACTTCCAACAGAATGAGGGTGAAGACGGCAAATAACACGTAAGAAATGTTATCAGTATTGTTTTGACTTTGTGAATTCCCTAGAAGGATCTCAGGGACCCTCAAAGGTCACCAGACCACATTTTGAGAACCACTGTACCAGAGTCTGTTGTAGGTAAAAGCTGGGCAATAACTATGAATAAGATACTCTCTCTATGGGGAGCTGTTTACGTAGTGGCAACTGTGACTTGTTCCAAAGTGGAAAAGAACCGAGCGCTGTGAGAGGGTGGGACGTGGAGACCTGTCTTTGCCTGTCCGGGTAGGGAAGTCGCCCCAGGACATTCAACCGAGACCTGCTGAGGAGGAGTCGGCAAAGGTGGCCGCCGACCACTCTTCCCGTCCACCTCCCCAAATCCCAGGAGAAGATGGGCAGACGGGAAGCGACAGCGGCCCCGAGTCCTCGGCCCGCGGCGGGCTCTGAACCTGGCACGCCGAACCCTCAGGACAGCCGCGCTGTCACTCAACACCTTGAGTGTCCCAACAGTCGCCAGAGCAGGAGCCTCGTGCGGCGCCAGGGACCCGCGTGAAACCACCTGTGGGAGGCGGGCGGGTGGCCCACGGTCCAGGGACAGTGAGGGGCGGCTGACAGCGCAGACACGTTCCAAAAAAGGCGCGGCCAGGGAGACGCAACTCCTGACACTGTCTTGGGCAACGCGGAGACGGGTAGTGGAAAAGCGACATCGTGGGAGGCAATGCTTAACGGGGCCAGTCCCCTGGCGGCTTCCTCAAGGGGACTCAGACTTGTGGGGATCCCGTAGCCACTGTACCTTCGCGAGAACAGAGGTCCGCTTCCGCGCGCAATCCCGGGCGAGCGGCCTTTTCCGTCCGTGTGGTCTCTTGCGCCCTCTGGTGGCTCCTCACTAGAAAGACACTGGGCTTGTTCACGCGGGACGCAAATAAAGATTTCTTATTCAAAAAACAGGAAGTGCCTACGGAGGCCGGGCTGGCAGCGGCGTTCGGGCATGAAGCCGGGCTGCTACGGGATCGCGGGCGGCGGCGGCGGCGGCGATGAGCGACATAGTGGAGAAGACGCTGACCGCGCTGCCGGGACTCTTCCTGCAGAACCAGCCCGGTGGTGGGCCCTCGGCCGCCAAGGCGTCCTTCTCCTCGCGGCTGGGCAGCCTCGTCCGCGGTATCACCGCCCTCACCTCCAAGCACGTAGGTGCCTGCCGGCCGGGGAGCTCAGGGACATTGGAGTGAGGCCCCCGCGCCAGGAGGCCCTGGCTGGGCGGCGGTCAGGGACTGCTGTGTCGGTCCGTCCTTTCTTCTGTCTGGAAGCTTCACTTTCCTGCTGGGATTGACAGCAGGGAGGCCGAGTTTCCACAGTTGGCTCTGACACTGACTTTTAGGTCTGAGGCAGATCTCTGTAACATCTGACCCTCCATGTATTTTCTCAACGTTGGTGTGGAAAAGTACTGATACATAATTCATAAAATTCACAGTTTTTTTTTTTCCGAGGATCGGGTGAGATGACAAGCGTGTAAAAATACCCAGTGCTAAGAAGGTGTCGGACATTATTTGCCATCCACAAAGTTTTTTTCCCTTCTCAGTTTCCTTCTCTACCCCGGCCCCTTCAACTGAACAACAGTTCAGATGTCGCATACCTGAACAGATCCTGCCATCTGCGCTTCCTGTTGAATATCTTTGGGGAGCTTGAGGTTCTTGGGTTAGAACACGTGTTGGGCAAAGAAAAAGCATAATGCTCCCAAAATGTAAAATTTGCCAAGTCTCTGCCTCAAATGTGCTTTGAGCAGTCATAAAAGTTCTTAAGCTCCCACAGTCTTGAAAATTTTTTTTATTTTTAGTGACTGAGTTTTGCTCTGCCTCCCAGACTGGAGCACAATGGCGCCATCTGGACTCACTGGAGCCTCCGCCTCCTGGGTTCAAGCGATTCTCCTGCCCCAGCCTCCCGAGTAGCTGGGATTACAGGCGGATGCCACTGCACCCAGCTAATATTTGTATTTTTAGTAGAGACGGGGTTTCACCATGTTGGCCAGGCTGTTCTCGAACTCCTGATCTGAAGTGATCTGACCGCCTCGGCCTCCCAAAGTGCTGGAATTACAGGCATGAGCCACCGTGCCGGGCCCTCTTAGGCGCTTGGATTTTGTAGTATACAGATTGACACCTTCAAGTTTATATCTTAAAAAGAGCACATGTTAATGTCAATTATTTGTTCAACAGATGTTTATGGAACAAGGTTATGTGTTAGACACAGGAAAATAGAATTAAACACATTCTCTTTTCCCAAGAAATTGGTCATTGGTTTTGGGTTTAAGCCAAGTATAAGCATGACTACAATGCGATATAAGTGCGAAAAGAGAAGGAAAGACAGAAGAGAAAGTGCTCTGAAGGTTAAAAAAAATTGTTTTTTTTGGCAGCCCAAATAAGATGATGCTATCCGGGGAGAACCTGCTTCACATTCCAGAATTATTATTTTGTGGGCTGTTTTTTTTTTTTTTTTTATGGAATTTTGCTCTTGTCACCCAGGCTGGAGTGCAGTGGCATGAACTCAGCTCACTGCAACCTCCGTCTCCTGGATTCAAGCGATTGTCCTGTCTCAGCCTCCTGAGTAGCTGGGATTACAGGTGCACACCACGACGCCTGGCTAAATTTTGTAATTTTAGTAGACATGGGGCTTCACCATGTTGGCCAGGCTGATTCCTGACCTCAGGTGATCCACCCGCCTTGGTCTCCCAAAGTGCTGGGATTACAGGTGTGAGCCACAGCCCCAGGCCAATGTTGTTTTTCTTAAGGTTTTTGTCCTTTGCTAATTTTTATGGGATGCTCACTAAATTTTTTAAAAAGTTATTTTTGGTCTTAAATAGCATTTTGAAACTGTAGATAGGGATCCATGTGGATCAGTACTTCATTATTGGCTTTTGAATAGCCACCTGATGAACATATAATTCAGGGTGTAATTTAAAGGTAGCATGATAGTAGCCAAAAAAAAAAAAGGGGGGCCAATTTTTTAAGTGCTTAGGGAGGTAACATACAATGCACGCAGTAGAAGTGACCACATTGGTTTGTGTCTGAGATACGAAGTGATGGAAAGGATTTGGGGAATGAGGAAAAGACAGGGAAGAAGAATGTAGTTTAAGGGAAAAAGACCAATTTCTCTTTCTGCTTTTTTACCCTATTTTTCAATTCCATGAAGACTTTACTTCTAAGGGGAATATGTGAGATGAGACTCTTTTCTTGGGCCAATACATGGAGAATTTCTACTCTCTTTCCACCTTTAATTTAATTTATTTTTTGAGATGAAGTCTCTGTTGCCCAGGCTGGAGTGTAGTGGTACAGTCTTGGCTCACTGCAACTTTTACCTCCCTGGTTCAAGAGATTCTCCTGCCCCTGCCTCAGCCTCCCGAGTAGCTGGGATTACAGGATGCCCAGCTAATGTTTGTAGTTTTTAGTAGAGATGAGGTTTTGCCATGTTGGCCAGACTGGTCTTGAACTCCTGACCTACCTCAAGTGATCCAACCCTCTCGGCCTCCCAAAGTGCTGGGATTACAAGCATGAGTCTCTAGGCCCGGCCTCCATCTTTATTTTTATTTATTTATTTTTTAAATTTCGTTTTTTTTTTTTTTTAAAGACGGGGTCTCACCATGTTGGTCAGGCTGGTCTTTAACTCCTGACCTCAGGCGATCCACCCGCCTTGGCCTCCAAAGTGCTTGGATTACAGGCTTGAGCCACCATGCCCAGACTCACCTTTATTTAAAAAAAAAACAAAACAAAAAAAAACATTTTCTGCCATTCTACCATAAAGGGGAAGTAACTGAGTAAAGAAAAGAGGAAGGGTGGGTTAGCCTGGAAATATTTATTCTCTCCAGGGACAGTTCTGAGGTTTGGAGAAATGCCTTTAGATTGTAAGTGTGTAATGTTTATAACTCTCCTTTAAAACAATGTTTTTTTAATTAAAAGTATTGTAAATTATATTTTTCCCTTTAGATAAATGCTGTTACAGTTTTAAAAGACAGTTAATCAAGCATTTAAATATTTTCACTTTCCCAGGAAGAAGAAAAATTAATCCAGCAGGAACTAAGTAGTCTGAAAGCAACTGTTTCTGCTCCTACTACAACACTGGTAGGTTTGCATAGTTAGTGCCAACCCATTTGAATTTGAAATCTAGTCTGCTATGGACTCAATAGTGGCATCTAACTGATGATCGGTTGCTAAAATTTAATTTATCACAGTCAAAATTAATTATAGATGGTAGTAACTCAGATGTTAACTGTAGCCTTTTATTGTTGACTGGTTTGCACCAGAACAAGGTTTGCCTGTGTCAAGTCAGGGTTCATATGATGATGATTACATAAATGTGGAGATACTCTTGGGACTCTAGTGCTGAGCTGATGTTTTTAATGTTATGCACTTGGAAAAGGTTGGGCTATCAACATATTTTCAGACCTGAATTGATATATTGTAGATATATCTAATTTTATTATTTAAGACCTAGTTGTTTTTAAACTTTGTTCTATATAATTTGATTTTTCAAACAATATTCAGCAATTGTTTAATGAATGGTCATTCATTATTATGCAGGACACTGTGGGGCTGTCCCAGCATAGTTAGATTAAGACCCAGTTTGATTATTATTGTTATTTTTTGAGACGGAGTCTTGCTCTGTTGCCCAGGCTGGAGTGCAGTCACCACTGCACTCTGCCTCCTGGGTTCAAGCAATTCTCTTGCCTCAGCCTGCCAAGTAACTGGGACTACAGGTGCCCACCACCACACCTGGCTAGTTTTTGTATTTTTAGTAGAGTTGAGGTGTCACCATGTGGAGCTGGTTGGTCTTAAACTCCTGACCTCAAGTAACCCACCCACCTCCCAAATCAAAGTGCTAGGATTACAGGCATGAGCCACTGTGCCTGACCTGATTTTTTTTTAAATGAGATTTTGTTCCAAGCAACATTTCTTCAGCAAATATTTGGTGAGTGCCTTCTGTATACAAGCCACTGTGCGAATGTTTTTCCTCCTTGCTAGTGAAAATATCAGGGTGATCATTTTACATAAGTATGTGATCGAGAATTTGAATAACACTTGTAAATTCTGAGAGAATGAATATATTTTTGTTCGTGGTCATAATAATAGTATGTGGCAAATAAAGCTCAAAACATAATCTGATATATCCATGTGCATATATGTACATGTATGTTTGTGTGTATACACCTATGTGTGTCTGTGTGGCTATGTATAAAATCATTATGCTTCATAGTACTAGATAGAAACATTAAACAGTGATGGTTTTTGTTTGTTAGATTTCTATTTTCTTAGATTGGCATCAGTATATAGTTTTCCTTGTTCCAAGGCAGAAACCTGAAGTTGGGCAGAACTAAAATAAATAGGTAGAAATTAGGAAGGCAGAGTTTGAAAGGAAGGTTTTATAACACTTAGGCCTCCAACTCTGTGCATATCTTGTAGAATAGTCTGTCCCAGAGGTTTTCTTGTAAAGGTTGGCGGTCAGAGAAATTGTAAAGAGAATTCCTGCATTGGGGAATGCACTTTCATCTCTAAAAATAAAGGTATGAGATGTAAATCTCACTTAGATAAAGTTCCTAATGACTTTTGAAAAACTCTGAGATAAAATGTTACAAATCTAGGGTTGAAACTTAATGGCTTAAATGAACACTTTCACTCCTAATTAATGTAGAAGTCTGAAAAGGGACTTCCAGTATCTTTTATTTGTTTTCTCAGTATTTTGTAATTTTTTTGGGAGGGGGTGGGGGATGGAGTCTTGCTCTATTGCCCAGACTGTAGTGCTGGGCGGAATCTTGGCTCACTGCAACCTCCACCTCCCAGATTCAAGTGATTCTCTTGCCTCAGCCTCCCGAGTAGCTGGGATTATAGGCTCGAGCCACCATACTTAGCTAATT